ACCCCCATATACGTTCTCTGACCGTCTAGGCCCCCTCCCCCTTTTTTTACCATTACCATAGGCACTATAAATATGTGCAAAAATCCACTTAAATGAAGTTCTCCAAATTGTTGGCAAAGCACTCAATTGTTGTAAACCCAGCTGGCGCCGCTTTACAAAAGTTTATGTGAATGTTACTGTTAGTGGCGGCCCTTAAGCATGGAATTTTTATGTATACTTACACCTTGACTGTCCGAGAAACAATACCCTGGGCTTTGCAGGCTCGACCTCTTTTAGGGTTGGTCTCCAGCATAGTCAAGACGGAAGGGAAATGCCTTTGTAACTTTAGTAGGTTACTGTTTCTAAGATCAAGTTACCATCTCAGTACCATCTATCAGCTCAGACCCTCTGAGATAGCTTCCAATCCTCTCTGACAATGTCATAAAAAAAGACTTAGATTGCCGGCGTACACAGAGTGGAAAGAATACAATTTTCGTCATTAAGCACTACCTGAAAGGTGCTTTTCCAGCTTAGAAATGATAAAAGAGAACAGTTGAGGGCTAAGTATGCAGCCTTGTTTTACCCCCCATTTACATTGGAAATATTCATTGGTATTGCGTTCCAGTGATCCGTGTTCTTCACAGCAGGCTTGAACACCTGACAGCACACGTTGATACATTGGTCGAAAATAGCAACGTTTTCTAAAAAGCTAACCAGTGTTTTGCTTTGTCAAACTAAACATACATATGCTTTTAAAGTCGATAAAATCTACACAGAATCTTCGATCATGTTGGGAGAGAGATTTTTATATTTCGATACTGGAGTGAGAATGCATTATATATATTGTGGAAGAATTTCATCTAAAACTGGCCTGAGATTCAAGAGCTGAGGTTACTTTCTTCAGACCATTGCTGCAGTCGTTTGTTCACCATAATTGAACACAATTTGCCAAAAACGTCCAGTGAACAGATGCCACTGTAATCATGAATGTCATCAACGCCCCCTTTCTTATATGCAAACTAAATAAAATCTTAAACTTAGTTCTCTCTTCTGTACAATTGCCCGTGAAGAAACTGAAGTGAAAAGAGATAGTAGAAAGTCAATCAGATACTGGCACCCAAATTTAGAAATTCTGGTGATAGACCAATTGGAGGGACTGTCTCATAACAGTACAGCTGTACTGTTTTATCACTTAAAGAGTAGATTTTATAGGAGAGGAAAGATACCTGCCAACGAATATACAAATTGTTTGCCGAGATGTTTGAGCATCCCAAGTTCTTCGGAAATATCAAAGGTTAGCGTAACATGGGTTTCGATGAATGATTTTCCAGTTAAGCAGCACATATATAAGACATTAAGAACAGTGGGGGGGGTTGAGCCTCAGTTCAGTCCGACGTTGTGTCCCTGGGAAAGGCACTTTACACGAATTTCCTATTTGGATCGATCCTTTCGGGGATGGACGTCTTGGAGGTCCCGCCTTTTAAATAACCTAATAGTGTTGACAGGGGCGTTAGACCTATACCATTTCACCATTTTTCACTGCAATAAATAGGATCACCGATTGGTCACAAAGGGACACAACAAAGAAATGTATACTTGACATCGCTGGTTCTTCGGTTGTTTAAATCCTGACATCGCCGGTTCTTCCATTGTGGGCTATATTTTCTGACCCTCACAGAGACTGGCAGCGCTGGGGGTTTTTTCATATGTGACTTAGATGGACTAAAGCAGACCCCGCCAGGCATCATGCTGGCTCAATAATCCTGAAAATGAAAAAAAAAAAAAACCTCACACCGCTGATTTTTCCCTTGTGACCTTCAATTAGAAAGCTTTTAAAACTCCCCAAACCACACATTGTTCAAGAAAGATCCACTGGACTTTTGAAACAGAGTCACCTTTACCACAGTCTAGTCTACTGCCATCTGAGCTGTGATGCTCAACACGAATGGAGCACTGATGACTAATGTGATTCTCATTTGCAGGAAGAACGAGAGAGGACAGAACGAATACACAGACAGATGGAGGAGGGGGAGCTGCTAGTGGACAAGTAAGTCTGCCAAACTATTTGCCCTTATGTCTCTGCTTTTTTTGTTTTGTTTTGTTTTGTTTTGTTTTTTGTTTGTTTTGGGGTTTCTTTCCATGTTTTTTTCTGGCATCTGGCCTTGTTGTTGCTGTTGCATTGTTGTCGTTTGGTGTTTGCGCCCCTAGAAGAATGACAGGGCTCCAACTCCACTTTTTGTGAGGAATGAGTTACACACTACTGCACTGACACATTACTGACACAGATGACATGCACATTGTGTCAAATGCTCGAGACTGTCGAACCAGTAGTTTTTTTTTCAGTTTGACACTTAATAAAATGAGGTTTAAATAAATGTTAACTGTTTGAGAGTGTGAATCTTTGAATCTACCCTGTCATTCTAAGGATGTGTATTTTCCCAGGACTATGTTGGACGTGCATTGGCTTTCCAGGCCATCTTGTCCTGCGATCTTGTAATGAACCAAGTCTGCCTTCTTCCCACTTTTCAATCTTTTATATTTCTTTGTCCACGGGTATTTTGGCCGTCCTCTACCTCTTTTTCTTTCCGATTTCCCTGAGGATGAAATGATATGTACCTTAAAAATCGTTGGTCAGTTGTTGCGGTATGTGGTATTTTTTTTAATGGAAGTATTTTACGCCCCTATGGACTCAATCTAGATCATTTATTAAGAGACTGGGTGCTTCGACGCTGCCAACCCAGGCTGAGAGGAATGCAATCTTTCAGCGAAAAGGCGGAGACATTTGATAACATTTCTCTACAATAAGGGATCAAATTTACAACTTCTGTGTGCGAAGGCAAAGCCGTTAACCGCTACACCACTGACACCAAGCGATGACGACACTCGTAGCCAGTTTGGCGGTACATTAAAATTAATAAGACGACACATCCCAAAATGTGCCCTTGTCGAAACAAAGCCCTCAGTAGGCTGTCGAGAAATAAACGCAATCTCAGACTGTACACTATAGCCTCTGCCCATAAAATGTGAACCCCCGAGCGATCCAGCGGAGTACTCAAGTGAATAATTGTGATTGGTTCATTGTCTTGTCTCTATTTTAAAATCTAGGTCTTGCCCCGACTCTGTGACCGTGAACCTGAGCGAGATGAACCTAAAGTTAGTTAGGTAACCGTCTTTTGAGTTGCGCCTTTGAATGGTGTTTTAGTGGAGTGGTGAAATTGTGATTACTTGAGTTTTCATTTCCGATGCCAAATAAACGGAATTTATTTTTAGCTAACAAATATATGATATGTAGTTTTAGGAATCAACGCGATTAAAAAGAATTAAACGAAAAGCATTTGGTATTTACCTTCCCAAAGCTATTAAAATTATACTCCATCCCATTTACTATGCCCTTCACTATTTTCAACCTGCGATAGCTTAATAATATTATTGTGCATGCCCACTTTTTAGACCCAAGAGCCACCCCTGCGCCACTGGTAGGTTCTACTTCCTTACTTTCCCTCTGAGTTTCTGTCTGTCTGTCTTTTAATTTCTTCTCTGCACCAAATGCCGTTATTTTATCGATGTGCTTCTCTTTATTAAAAAAAAAACAAACAAACAACAACAACAACTAAAAGAAAATAGACATGTATGCGCGCGTTATTAGGTTTCTATGTTTTGGGCTTCGTCTTACTCAAAATACATGTGCAATGTATTAGAATTAGTCTATTTATAGGCTTTTTAGCACAAGAGTGACCCTTAGCATACTTCTCCGCGTCGTAAACTCGCTAGAATTATAGGAAATGCTTTACACAAAGGTATTAGTGCTTTGTTTGTTTCAGAACGACACTTGGGACAGAAGAGGGCTGAGTACATATATAGTAGCTTAGCGTTTAATAGCGATGAAGAAGAGGAGGAGGAGGAGGAGGAGGAGGAGGATAACAAAAATAAAAAGAATTAGAACATGTATCAATAAAGGGCTCTATCATTACAACGTTAAATGAAGAAGAAGAAAAAGAAGAAAAAGAAGAAGAAGAAGAAGAAGAAGAAGAAGAAGAAGAAGAAGAAGAAGAAGAA